TGCGGGCCACAGGAGGGGTGTCCCCCAGCAGCAGGGCATCCATAGGATTGTCCCAAGCCCAGGAGGAAAGAAGTCTGGCCGATGCTCTGAGTACTGAGGGCTGCTGCAGCACAGGCCTCAGGGAGACAAGCATGAGTCTCTATGTGTCAGAGCACCCTTCCCTGCCTGCTCTGGGAGGGTCTTCAGAGTGCGTGGGAGATAGCTCTCAGCTCCCTGAGCTGGTCTCCCCAGGCCACGAGGCCTTGGGCTGGAGAAGTGAGTGGTGTGACACTGTCCCCCAGATCCCCTGCCTCCCCCTTAGCTATGCTGCAAGATCCTGGCACAGGGCACAGTCCTCAGCCAGGCAAGGGAGCTGTGGCAGTGAGGCTGCAATGTTGCAGACAGGCTACTGAGCCCTCCCAGGCTGGGCACAGCCCTGTGCCAACACACCTACCTGCTTTCACGATGTGGCCTGCAGCTTGCATCATTTCCCCCTGCCTACAGGACAGCGCTGCTCTCCACTTCCCAGCCCTGCACTGCCCTGCACCTCAGGAGGTCTGCAGGGAAACCCTGCTCCAGCAAGCATGGGCACACTGCTCCTGCAGAGCACAGCAGGGCATCACAGTGGCGAATGAGTCCCTGCTGCTCTGGCCCCTCTGCTCCCTGCCTGCGACAGGGCTTGGCAGAGAGAGGGCAGGGCTGACATCTTTGCAGCACGGTGGCTGAAGCAGCTCCATTGCACATAGCTTTGCTGCTTTCTGGGCATCACCAGCAAGGCTTGGCACAGGATACTCACTTCCTCGGAGCGGCTGCTTTAGAAAATTGCCTCTACCCCCAGCTGCTGAGACTGGCTGGCAGTGCCAGGAAGGATCCTGTCCCAGAGGCACCAGGTCAAGCTGGCTTGTTCCACCAAGGTCTGGCCTGGCCCAGTTGAGCACCAGAAACCACTCCATCCCCCCACCTGGAAAAGTCCTGCCAACCATGTCCAACCATGTGACATTCACCCGGACACGCTGGCACCTTTCCAGCTCTTCGCTACCTGGGGAAAGAGGGCTTTGCTGTGTGCAACTCCTGATAGGTAACTTCTGCCCACTGCCTGCCAGTTGTTGCTTGGTGGGAGCACCTGGGATTTGTGTGCCCGAGTCTGCTGACAGGAAGAGCCCAATCCTGCTTATTACTTGGGGGCACAAGACCAGGATCATGTCACTCCTCAACCTGCTCTTTGGTGACCTAAGCAGGCCAAGTTCCCAGAGCCTCCCACAAGGACTGCTTTCTGATCTTTGCATCACTCCATGCCCTTTCCAAGCCCTCTCTGATTCATCAGAGCTAAGAGCCAAATGTTGGTGTTAGGCATCAGTAGCAAAGCAAAAGGTCATGGAGCAAGTCCAGGTGGGTTTACGCAGGGGCCACACTCACCTTCCAGCCAACTAGGGGGGCATACAGGCATGGCCAGCCTGATGTGCCTCCAGGGGCTCCTGGGAGCTGGCAGCCCTGGGACTCTCCTGGCACCCTCTAGAAATCCCTGCTTAGTGATGATCCCCCACGTGCACTTCTGTACATTGCAACCTGAGCCCTGCCAGTTAGCCACTTTTCAAACATTTAATGTGTGCTATGTTGATTTAGTATCATGGTATTGTTCTATGTGGCATTCACACCTTGTCAAACAAATTTATAATCTCATCCAAATAGGAGACCAAGCTATTTGGACCAAGTCTCCTTTCTGTTAGTCCATGCACTTTTATCACCTCCTACAGTGACTGAGTTATACCAGTCCTGTATCAGATGTTCCAGGATTTCACCTGGGATCAATGTCAGGCTGAAGAGACGCTGCTGGGCCTTCGTGTTAACCCTCTAAAATGCTGACACCACCATAGCTTTCCTTCAGTCCTCTGGAGCCTCCCCACTGCTTGAAGACTTACTGAAAATCAGCATGGACGGCCCCCAATCTCCTCAGCCAGCTCTTTTAAAACTCTTGGACTCAGGTGTCCTGGACCTCCTTTTATTAAAACTAGCTTAATATCTTCTTGGGTGATTACTGGAAGGAAAACAATTGCATCCTCATCTGCCAGAAGTCCATCATCTGGCTCTTCCCCAATACCGAACAAAACGATGTATTGAACACTTCTGATTTGGTTATTATTGACACTGCTACCATGCCCACAACATCGCTGGGTTTCCTTTTGTTTCTGCTTGAATAGCTCCTCCTTATTCTCCTGCACACCGCTGGCTACTTGTGTTGCATTGCTTCCTGTATTATACTTTCACTGCTCTTAGCTTCAGTCATATTTATTACTAGCAATGTTACCGTTTCCTGTTTAGACATACTCTCTTGTCCAGATTACAAGTGACGCTGCCTATAATTCTGGAGTTTAGGAAAGAACACCTTTCCCCCGTACGACATTCTGCACGAATGCATTCAGTGTTTCTGCTAGGATTAAGCAGACCCAGGCATTACACCGTGGTTTCCAGGGACCTGATTAGAGGCTGACATTTGTCAGCCCTTGTGTAAGTCAAGGGCAAGTTTTATGGGTTTTTTGGGGAACAAAGGTCAACTTCACTTTAAGAGCTGGTCTCACTTCTCAGCTGAGCCTTTTCATAAAATCCCAGAGCAGTGGGGCTGGAAGGGAGCTGTACAGGTCCTCTAGCCCAACACCTGCCTGAAGCAGGATCAGCTCTATCCAAACCCTCCCATAAAAACCATCATCTAAACTCTAGGAAAAGCTGCTCTCAGCCCTGATGCAACACAGACCTAACACCCAAACCTGCCACACACAAAGCAGGGGAACTGAACGAAGCAGCCCACACGCTACTTCTGTGAAATATCAATATACGCTCCAAAGATCTGGGGTACCGGCCAGGGGGGGGAAAATCCCTTCCTGACCCCAGTGCAGCACCAGTCTGACTCCACACAGGGGCAGACCCCCCCAGCCAGGCACCTCCAGGTTTAAGTCTGGGCAGGAGCATTGGTCCAGCCTGGCTCAACACACCCTGACCAGGGAGCAGCGAGGTCGGGGGAAGCAACCAGCAATGATGTTTGCAACTCATCGCGGCAGTGCAGGGCTCGGGGAACCTGCTCTGAACCCAGTCGGGTTTCCGTCGCTGCTAGCTAAGCCCCCACTTCCCAGCCTTGCTCTCGCCCCTCGCAGAGCAGCTCCCCTGGCCCCGGCCCCGGCCCGTGCGCAGCCCCGCCGCGC